ACATTTCAGTTACATTGTAAATGAAGATAAATCATAGAATTATTAAGAAATAAATCGAAGGCGTCATGCTTTTGTTTTGCATTACTGCTAATAAAATCCAATTCCATTACATTTGAAAATGAACCCAAAAAAACAATCTAAAAAATCCATATCCATTGTTCTCAATTACGTAGAGACAAAAGAATCCTTTGTTTTTCATTTTTAATTTCATCTTTTTGGAATTTCCAGAAGACAGTGCGTGAGTAGTCCCCACTCCGTCATTGTTTGATCAATCGTTACTCATTTTATTTGCCGATATTAACGTCCAGAATTTAAAGGAGAAAATGCTATTGAACTTCTTCTTAGGTAGCGAGAGGTTATATTATGTTCTCTTATGTCAACAAGAAAGCCAGACAAATACATCTGGAAAATTTTTTATTTTCTGTTTTTCTCTTCTTTGCACTTATCGTTTTAGTTCTTTTGTTTATATATGTAACATAATATGTTGCAATATTCTTTCAACATCGTATGCTTTTGAAGGTCTGGTTTTATTTGGTGATGCATTCTGATTCTAAAAGCGAAACTATATTTTGTGTACTCAGATGGCATGTTTATAACGACGACTATTGTTTATATTGTCCCCAGAATATATGATTTTATTATTGTTGGCTCTATTTGTCTTTTCTTTTTAGTAATCTTTATTCTGTAATTTTATTACGATTTGTCCCTTTTTAGTTTTGTTTATTCTTTTCTAACGCCACCATATCGACGGTATCAGATCGAGGACCACGAAATGTATCGTGAAAAAGGTCTAGATTACGTCTGTCGTTATCCGCAACTTTGAGCACCATACAGGAGGGAGTAAGTTTTGGTTCCGTTCCACCTCAATTTTTAGAAAGAACATTCTGGGTTGTTGTCAGTGGGCTTCTCACCTCTTTTATTCTTCCACCAATCTCTTGATGGGACTTTCGGCTCGGAGAATATTTAGAATACCCTCTGCCGTACAGGAACTATGCATTTGATAGCATCCATGCCGTGTCCGGGATTCGAATCCGGATCCTTCAACACAGCAGTCAGCGTCACTAATCATTATATCATCTGGGTGGCTGAACGGGAAAATTTTTAAAAAATACAACATAATACAACAATAAATGCATTGCAGTAACAACAATAAATTAATAAAAAATTATTTTACAAAAAAAACTCCACTTAATTAAATTATTATAAAAAAATTATATGTAAACTTATTTCACACATCATAATCATAATCCTTTTTATGAAATAAAAATACAAAAACATTAAACTACCTTACTTAACAATTGACGTATGTAATGACGTACGTATACATGATGAAGGAAACTGATGTCAAATTTTTTAGAACATTTCAGAAGATTACATCACCTAAAATGAAATTCTAAAAATATTTTTAACAACAATTTATGATAAATTAAAGGAAATGAAATATTCTATATAAAAAATTGAATTAAAAAACTAGAATCCTTTTAAATTATATACTTAGATAAAGGATTTTGAAAAGATCAATCTTCTTTTTGGAAATATGGAACTGTGGCTTCATTTTTACGCATTGCCGCAAATCTTAAAACAATGAATTTTCTAATTTGTTAATTTACAGCTCGCAGAAAAAGTAATAAAGTAACAGATTACCTCCTGGATTCTAATTTTAGGAAATTAACATCTTATCAAACTGCTTCCTCTCCAAATGAAATTTGTTTCCTTTTTATTAGTACCTTGTTTATTACCATACCTGGCTTCAGAAACATTTTCACAATGCGAGACCCTACTCTATGTGCTGACACTATCCGAAAAGTTAAAGTATTGAAAGTTTATGGAAAGAGCTTTTGAACAGTTTCCTTTCCATACATCATTTTCAGACAAGACAGTTTTAATTTCCACAAGCTGTGTAATTAACACTTTCCCCGCCGAAACTGCAAAATGGAAGGAAAAGAACTTTTTAAAAAAAGAATAATCTTTTCGTTTTATTCTGCTGTTCGGTCTTCAAATTCCTGTCTGCAGAAATCTTTCTTTTTATAGTGGTAGTATTGGAACGTTCTAGAATCTCTCATTTGTTCATTTTTTCAAGCACGTATATAAAAACATATCAGTAAAATTCATCGTGGAAAGGATTTCGCTCTCTGAATTCATTATTTTGCTTTGGTTAGTAAAGGGTTTCTTCGATCCATAGTTTTTGATTTATTTCGTTATTGTTCGTGGATGGTGTTCGATTTTTGTCGAATGAAATGAGATTATGCTTGTCATTTTCTTCGGAGAAAAGAAGAATTTTGAATAGAGAAGAAAAAAATTTTTATACTGAAAAACTTCGTTTTTGTTCCATTGACAATATGTTTTAGTTCTTCTTAAATGCATTAGTTGGTAGTACAGTAGAACCTGTTTTTGTGCGGTCCTTTTTTATGTGGTATTATTTTTGTACGATTATTTTGCGCGTTTTTTTTTTAATGCGATACATGAATTTCAACTGCTTTGGCGCCACTGTAATGTTTTCTATCAATGTACAAACATACACTTCCTGAAGCTCTGTTTATTGGTTATAAACAGTCTCTCGATATTGCACGTTCAATTGCTTTCTCTCTCAATGCACTTGCAGCACACACTTGATTCAAGAAGAAACTTTAAATGACGATGACGTTATCAATAATTTGATAGATTATGAAAACGGACACAAGAAGTACTGAAATCTTTGAGAGTGGATAAAATATATACAAGGATACAGCTTTCAAACCAAACGGAAAAGCATTTTCTTAAAATACAAACCAATTCCGAAAGGAGTTTTAAAATTCCAAAAAAGAGTTTCAATCATGCACATCTGGTTTTCGTGACGTTTACAAGAAACTAACCAACCGACCGTCCTCACAAAAACTTATCTCACTCACTTTATGGTACCAAAAAATAAATCAATTGAAATTGCATCTCTTCAAGTGACGAATGTGATTTTGAACTAATTCAATGGGCTATAGAAGATCCGTGTCATTGGATTACGATGAGTAGTGCGCAGTGAATTAATTACGTATGAGCCTTTTGGTAAATTCTTCATGTGTAGTGCATGAGAAATTAAATGTTTTAAAAATGTTTCCTTGAGGAATTTTTAATTATTTATTTTGCTTGGAAGTACTTTCTCATAAATTTCGTAAATAATTAACATAATTTTTAAGTGCAACTTGTGACGGGCTCACGCGTCTTTTCTGTAACATAACCTCTGGGTTCTTTGACGGCCAAGATTAATGGCAAATCTTTTTCCAACCCAAATCCAAGAAGTGAAAACGATTATGAAATGCAAATAAGATAGCTTTTTAAAAAGAACAGAAGTTTCAGTGTTGTATGGCAATTTAGGGAAAAGTTATGTTTGAAGACATACGAGAGTAACTGACGGCTCATCGTAAAATTACTAAGATATTGAGCCATTACTACAAGGTGCATACTCAATGCACGTAAGTGCCCAGGGTAAGCTTCTGTACCGTGATAGAACCTTAGCTTGAATTACAGGTAGGTCTGATTATTTGATATTAGGACTTTGTAAAATATTATCAGGATTGAAAGTAGGCGGATAATATAATATTTAGATATGGTCTAAGTTACGCGATCAGGTTTAACTATTGCTGTGTGTTTGGTTTATTAGATTCTCACCTATTAAAATTCTATCTAAATTATTGTAGATTTAAGTTATATTCTTAATAAAGTCATATTAAGAATTTTAAAATGTTCGATCTTTTGAGAATCCCACACCTCTAATTCATGCTGACAATCAAAGATATGGTCACCATAGAACAGCTATCACAAACTTTTTTATGCGGTCTTTCCGCCGCAGAAAAAAATTTTCTGTAGTATGTCGATCTAGTTGTTATGTAAGTTGGCATTTAAGTATTTATGAAATATTCGCATATATTTTTCGGTATTTGGTTTCTTTTATGCGGTCCCTATCTACCGCACAAAAAACAGGTTTTACTGGCACATAGAGAATTAGTTCTCCCATTACGGATCATTATGTACTGCAAAATATTTTATAAGATATCGCCACAAGTTCTTTTAAAGCACTTTGATCGAAAATGAAAGTGTAGTGTAATATTTATTTCTGTAATTTGAATTTATTTTACAGTAGATCAATTTCTATGAAATTTAATGTTTTGACTAATAAAAAATTAATACATCGTAATTTAAGTCATTTTTATAACACCTGCAATTTGCTCTTATTGAAATTAAATAATGAATTTTTAAAACATAGCATAAATATTATTTTTGAAAAATTAACAATAAAAAAAAAATTACTGAAAAATTGAAAGCAACAAAAAGTCTTTGTACACCTAAAAATCTCAACATAGCTTTTAAGTATTGTATTTCGTTCTAATTTGCAATTTAGTAGGGGATACGTTTTAACGTCCACAACAGTTTTCAAACTAGTCTAGGTATAGATTTCATCTGTTTTTGTAATTTCTCTGCGTCGATGTTCCTATTATTCTGTGATTATTGCTTTTACGAGTTTTGTTTTTATATGTCATGCTTTTTCACTTCCAAATTATCACCAAATATATTCCACTGGGCTTAAATACCAAGGTGATTTAGGCGATTTTTCAGAATTTAAGGACAGTTAGAAACACCAGATGCTTACGTAGAGAGAGCAGTGCACTTGGGGTCATTATCTTTTTACAAAAAGGAAATCATCTCCACACAATAAAATTACAAGCAGATAAGTTCAAATTTTCTTTTAAATATTTAAATAAAGCTCACTGTATTTTCCATGCCATCAAAAAAAATACCGAATTACCTAATCCTGCACCCGATTTACACCCCACACCAGAACACCTCCATTCTGGGTGTTGGGTTTTGTCACTTGACCGCGGGAGTAAATTACAGGAGTAAATTTTGGCAGGGTTTGGGCGATTGATGGCGGCGACATGGATTGGAAGAATTTCATTAATATTTCAGTGTACCTTTTTAGTTTTGGATGGAGCGATTCGGCTGAATTTCGAATCTCTAGTACGAAAACGGTCCGCCTCGGTTTCTGGAGTCTTGAACCCCAGCTTTGGACCGTATGGATATCGGTTAGAAACAACTACAGTCCACCGCTCTGCCAACTGAGCTATCGACGGCTGTTCAGCTTCGTGTAAACTAACTCGCCAAATTCGAATATTGAATTCATTTGTGATTGTGGAATTAAAATCTCTTTTGACGCATAGCTTGTTTTTCTAATAATCATATTTCAAAAATTTTTTAGTTTTATGTATTCATTAATTTAACTAAAAAGAAACGTCCGCCGAGCCGGAGTCGAACCATGACCCATGGATATCGGTTAGGAAACAACTACAGTCCACCGCTCTGCCAACTGAGCTATCGACGGCTGTTCAGCTTCGTGTAAACCAACTTCAAGCAAATTGAATATTGAATTCATTTGATTGTGGAATTAAAATCTCTTTTTTGACGCATAACTTGTTTTTCTAATAATCATATTTCAAAATTTTTTTAGTTTTATGTATTCATTAATTTAACTAAAAAGAAACGTCCGCCGAGCCGGAGTCGAACCAGCGACCTATGGATATCGGTTAGGAAACAACTACAGTCCACCGCTCTGCCAACTGAGCTATCGACGGCTGTTCAGCTTCGTGTAAACCAACTTCAAGCAAATTGAATATTGAATTCATTTGATTGTGGAATTAAAATCTCTTTTGACGCATAACTTGTTTTTCTAATAATCATATTTCAAAAATTTTTTAGTTTTATATATTCATTAACTTAACTAAAAAGAAACGTCCGCCGAGCCGGAGTCGAACCAGCGACCTATGGATATCGGTTAGAAACAACTACAGTCCAACGCTCTGCCAACTGAGCTATCGACGGCTGTTCAGCTTTTCGTGTAAAACCAACTTCAAGAAAATTGAATATTGAGGTCATTTGAGATATTGAATAAAAAATCTCTTTTGATGCAAACTTGTTTTCACTATCATATTTCAAAATTTTTAGTTTTATGTGGCCATTAATTTAACTAAAAGAAACGTCCGCCGACGTGGAGTCGAACCAGCGACCCATGGATATCGGTTAGGTAACAACTACAGTCCACCGCTCTGCCAACTGAGCTATCGACGGCTGTTCAGCTTCGTGTAAACCAACTTCAAGAAAATTGAATATTGAGGTCATTTGAGATATTGGAATAAAAATCTCTTTTGACGCATAACTTGTTTTTCTAATAATCATATTTCAAAAAATTTTTAGTTTTATGTATTCATTAATTTAACTAAAAAGAAACGTCCGCCGAGCCGGAGTCGAACCAGCGACCTATGGATATCGGTTAGGAAACAACTACAGTCCACCGCTCTGCCAACTGAGCTATCGACGGCTGTTCAGCCTGTTGTAAGCAAACTTAAAGCATATTGAATATTGAGGTCACATTTGATTGGAATAAAAATCTCCTTTTAATGCAAATTGTTATTCTAATATTCATTCATGAGCTTTCTATAAAATCTAATTATTTTACTATTAGTGTCAGTTTCTTTATCATAATAGAGGTCGAAAAATATGGCAGAAACATTTCACACTTTGCGTTAAATATACGGAATTTGAATCTTTTTATTTTTCTTTCGGAGAAGTTACCGTTGAATTCGAAAATCGTGGACTTAGTAGGAGTCTAATAATCTTTAATTGAAAATTATATTTCACACTAAACAATTCTTTAAAATATAACAAATAATTATTACTTTCAAAATTAGTTTGTTTTAAGAAATTGAGTTATAAGTGTATTACACTTTTACACTTAATTACAAATGATCTGACTTATCGATTATTGAACTCATTAAAATTGTTCGAATGGGTAATTTTTATGTTCATGTAAACATTTCGAATATATCACCGTATTTGTTGATAGATTTTTCGTTTGTATGCTTTTGAAAACCATTGGCTAATGCAATAATATATGTATAGTAGAAAGCGATGCGTTTATGAAGGAGTTATTGGAATGGGACGAAATTTAAATGCATATGCACATACCTTACATTAAACTATGAAACTACTTAACTTTTTACTTCCAATGACTGACAAACTAGAGCTACAACGTATTACAGAGCATCCGGGTGATATATAAAACAGAGAACAAACATTCGAATGCTAAAACATATAACTTCCCAACCAATATTCTTCCGTTGACCAGCATAGATAGTACCAATGCCTCGCAGACGTATTCACGAACAGTTTGGGCAGATATCACCATTTGAGAGAGGACAAGCATTTGAACTAAAGGAAGTAGGATAGTCAAATCGCGGGATCGTTTTGACATTTGGGTTGTAGAGATGTTACCATTCGACTATGCTGGTTGAAATGGGTGAAGAAAAGCCTTACAGAGAGTCAAGAAGGTAACAGTCGACTGAGAACGATGATAGAACACGTCCGATCAGCACTCACAGCCCTGGTGCTTCTTTATCAATAATCCAATGTGAAAACGGAACACTATTGACTACATTGACCATCGATCCGTGATTCAGTGAATGGACACTGAAGTCATAGAGACCATTGTATCGACTGCTCCTCACCATTGCTCACCTAGAATCTCATTGACTGGAAGATAATTGTTTTCAGTGATGAATCCATATTCGAAATGAGCCCCAATGACCAACGAAGACAAGCCTGGTGATCTCCAGGACGGCGATGATGATACGCATTTGACTGTTGTCCTCCACACAACTTGATAATCAGGGGTTATTATATGAAGTGCCATTTCACATTTGATAGAGCCGGACCCGTTCGGCTGCCCTTCGTGATCGACGATATTGTACGTCAGGTAATTCTGCCTTTCCTTTCACGAACCTCTAGGCTTAGATTTCACACAACAGGATAATGCTTAGATGTCCACAGATCTCCTTCCTACTGCTTGTTTACGTGCCTCTTTAACGCTCCTTTTCTTTGTGTTCATTTTTCATTGTAGGATAAACATGTGAGAATAATAAAGCTTTCACTGAAACTTTCTGTGTTTTCGGAATCAAATTTCTTCTACGCGTTTTCCATAGAAAAAAAAACTTTTTTTAGACATTTAGATAGATCCATGCTTCATCAAAGGTAAAAACGAATATATTTCTACTTATATTCTACCAAATGATTTTCAAACAAGGCTCTACAAACGACTTGCATTGAGCCACAAGCTTCAGCAAAGGACTGGGAACATTGTGTTTTTACCCTTTCAAACTGTAAATCATAGCTTTAATATTTTGTTTATAGTGCTACATATGTTTACAATTGATATCTGCATCGATACATTGTTGTGAGACTTCGCTTCAAAAAATATATTCTAAACAAAAAGTATGCATATTTTTCAAGTTTTTTTATTTAGAATTTTGTGCCACTGTGGAAATAACAGTTGATAACATTTCCCCCCTTATGATTAAGAATGTATCGTTCATTTTACATTCAGAAATTTTTATACCAAATGCGTCACAATGTTTTTAATTAAAGAATAAGAATATTTTTCTCGAAAAGTTTGAGAATGTATTCGATATATAGTTGGCTTACATTCGCCATTTTCAAAGAAGTAAAAATTCGAAGATGTCAGACGAGATTAATTCTACCTTCAAATGAGTAATTTTTCCAAGAAATTTCTTTCCCTTAATGTGTACACATGTTTAAAAAGTCCTTTTAAAGAATTTCTTAACAACCTTTGTATTTATTGAATAATATTATTTCTGATTTTAAATTGTTGATATAAAAACATAGTTTAAAACTTTTCGGATACAAATACTACATTCAAAATTCCTTTCAATTTTTGTTTTTGAATTTAAATTCACATTAAATTTTATTTATATTAACAAAGCCCCAGAGAAGTAAAATAGGATATTGCAAACAGGTGTCATTTTGAATCAAGGTCAGATGGCAAGAGTTAAAAATGTGATTCTAAACTGCACTACAACACAAACACACACACAAAAAAAAAAAAAATGTGAAAGATTTCTCTTTTTAGTTTCATAGGGGTTAAGTGCCATGAAGGACTTGACCCCAATGAAACTAAACAAAGGGGGTTATTTTGAATTAAAGATTTAATTTCTGGTAAAAAAAAATAATCATGGAATATTACAAATTAAAAACACACAAATACTTATGCATAATTTATGCATCAAATATCATTAAAATTCTTTCAATTAAAAGGAATTGATACCCTTAGTAATTTAGATGCGATATAAGCACGTTCAGTAGTGCTAGGATTTTGTACCCATAGAAATTAATAAAACATCAACTGGAGTTTTTTTCAAATCATCCGAATCGAATGACCCCAATATTCGATCTGCATGAAGTTTGTTTACAACAGGTTAAACAGCCGTCGATAGCTCAGTTGGCAGAGCGGTGGACTGTAGGTGGTTTCGAAGCTGATATCCATAGGTCGCTGGTTCGACTCCGGCTCGACGGAAGTTGCTTTTTTAATGAAAATAAATTCAGAATTAGAGTCTACTTTTTCCCCTTTTATCAAGTGAGTGAGTGAATATTAACGTTGCACTGAGGGGCTAACACGACGGCTTTGGCGACGGATCTTGTAATTTTGAGCCATGTTCAGGCGACGAGGACGACCCTGAGCTGGCACCCCTCTTTAACTACCACACTACACCAACGGGAGGACTCCTTTGTAAGGCAGTGAGTAAGAGTGATATTAACAATGCTCTATAAAGCAACACGAGGGCTATTGGCGACAGACCTCGCAAGTTTGAACCTCGGTCAAGAGACGAGGACGACACCTGAGCTGGTACTTGTCTCTCCTAGCTATCACACCATACAAACGGGAAAACGTTGAACCTCGACAAATTTAACGTTCATTGTTCCCCTCTACGAAGGGGTCTTCAGTGGCTCCAGAGGACTCGAACGCGGGACACCTGGAACATGGGTTTGTGTCTCCGTAACCACTTGGTTACCAAAGACACTTGCATTAAGGGAAGAATGGTATTTTTTATTAAAAATCGTTTTAGGGCCCCAAGCCCAAATACGTACTTGGCGTCAGTCAAGGTTTGGGCCTTGTAGAATCTCTGGGTCCTCCCCGCAATACGGGGTTTTCGGGGGTGTACGTTACGCCACTGAGTTTAGGTACGATATAAGAACTTTCACTGGTGCTGTAATTTGCATAAACATTCACAGAAATTAGTGTGAACACATATAAAAAAAATTTTTTTCTACTCATTTTGAATCAGATGACGCAATAAACAATTGGCTTCAGCAGCTTTACTTATAGCATACTGAGGCAGCCGATCGATAGCTCATTTGGCAGAGCGGTGGACTGTAGAGTGTGGTTTCAAACTGATATCCATAGGTCGCTGGTTCGACTCCGGCTCGGCGGAAGTTGCTTCTTTTAAATGGATTAGTGAAATGGAAATAACATTCAGAAGTAATTATTAGAAAAAAAACTAGAGTATTATATATAAAGTAAAACATTTAATTAGTTTATAATTTAGAATTGCTTTTATATTTTTTAAAACTCAAAAATAAAAAAAATTATATCGATTATCTTGACCTAAATACAAAAACTATAATCAAATATTTTTTCCCTCTATATGCGAAGTATTGTGTCAAAAAATGTAAATATTCCCTGTCGTTACCCTGTAACCTATGCAATTTATAATCATCCGCCCTTTAGAGCAATGGTCCCCAACCCCCTGACCGCGTACTGGTACCGATCAGAGGATCAAATAGTACCCCGGGCTTCACAAGGAACATTAAATTATTTTAATTTTACTTACTGTGGTGTATTTTTCTCTCGTGTTCATGCGACTTTCCGTGGAAATCCTTTTGTATTAATTTTTCGGTGTATAACTGTATTTTATTCAAAGGGCATGTTAAAATACAATTAAATTTATTAAATCAAAATCTTTAATATACACAATCAATTCGAGACACAGTCATCAAAAATTCAAAAAGAACTATCTCTTTTTGAAAATGGAGAGGGAGACGATGGTGACTACTTTTAAAGAACATATTTCTATTTAATGATGTTAAAGCCTTCTAATGTAGAGTCTAAACTATCCTCTCTCTTTCCTTGGGCAGGGCAATTTGTAACAAAAATAAGAAGCCGTTTAAGGCTGTTTTCGGTTAATGTTAAAGAATATTACTCGTTTGGGGCATTTTTCAAATATAAAAGAAATGAAAATTTATGATATTCTGCTTCACTATCCCAAAGAGCAGTATTGTTTTTACATACTTCCCCTTTTTCCAAGTTGATTCATTTTTTTTGGTAAAAAAAGTGTTTTTTTTTTCTCCCATATCGTGGGGTTAAAAGGGCTACGCCTTTAGGTATTAAAAAGAAAAAAAAAATATTCATGGAATATTTTAAAATTTTTAAAACACTATATTGTTAACGGGTAATTATAACATCGCAAATTTCCATGGAAATTGAGGCATTTTTTTTCGAAAAATTTCCCGTTTATTCAAGCTTCTACTTTGACCTTTGTCACAGTTCGAGCCCCGTACCCTAAAAACCCGCCTGTGGGAACTCTAAATCTGTGGAGCTGAAACGTCCCCGTTGGTGGGTGTGGTAGTTGGGAGGGGTCCGGTCAGGTGTCGTCCCGAATTGATCAGGGTTTAAAAAATTTCTGTCCGACCCAAAAACCCCTTGGAGCTGAACAGTGCGCGTTTATTCTCACTTACCAAACTTTTACCGGCGCCAAACAATGAAACGCTGGACGAGCTGTGTTTTTAAAAAACCTGTTTCGCCAAAAAACGAAGGAACGTTTTTTTTTTGTTATGGGGTTTTTTTTATTTATTTTTAATGATGAATTACGTTTTGCTTTGATTTCTTTCAATAAGTAATAATATTAATCCAATTTTTTAACTGTCTTCCATTTTATTATGTAATTTCAATTATGCTAATGTGTATAAGTATTTTTCATAAATAACCCAATTTTAATCACGAGATTGAAAATATAACATGGAATTGCAAACCCTAGTCAAGGATAGCTTCTCTGAAAAAACAAAAAAGTTTTCTTATGTGATAAATTTAATGCAAGTTTTCTCTGCCATTTACCCTTTTTCACTCTTTTATGTTACAGGAATTGATACCAAAAGCAAAACATTTAGATTTTACTCGGAAAAACTCAATTAAGCTGTGAATTTGTGCAATAAAGCATTAGAATAATTGCAACAAAAGGAGATTTTTTTATTTCAATCGGATGACCCCAATATTCAATATACTTAAATTTGATTATAATAGGCTGAACAGCCGTCGATAGCTCAGTTGGCAGAGCGGTGGACTGTAGATGTTTCATAGCTGATATCCATAGGTCGCTGGTTCGACTCCGGCTCGGCGGAAGTTGATTTTTTTTATGTATAAAGTTAATGCGTTTAAACTTGAATTTAAAAGAAAAAAACATTTGAAAAGTATTTTTTTGATGGATTACCTTCTAAATATGGATATCTAATATATATGTGGCTATCAACGTCAAACTTCATAATTTAAATAATGATTTTGGTCAAGGATGACACCTGAGCTGTCAACCCATTCTCCTAAGTTCCACACCCTGCTAATATGATGGCTTTGATCCCCGATGTGGCAGCGGTAGCCTAGTGGTCAAGGTTATGGATTCGTGCCGTGCCTGGCGTATCATGAGTTTGAACTTAGTACCGCTGAAGGCCCGCCGTGCAGAGGGGGCTGATGTGGTGTGGAAGTTTGGAGAAGAGTGTCAGCTCAGGTGTTGATCTCGTCAATTGACCATGGTTTAAAATTACAAGGTTCCGTTAGGCAAAAAACTTTGCGTACGAAGCTGAATACTGCAAAGTTAATATTTCCTCACTCACTCACTTGTTCCCCGAAAAAACATGCACACGCCCCCAATACGGCACGGTACTAGAGGCACTAAATCTATATATATATATATATAAAACCTGGACTGATAAAATGCACAAATACTTATGCATAATTTATACATCAAATATCATTGAAATTCTTTCAATTAAAAGGGAATTGATACCATAAGTAACTTAAATGCGATATAAGCACGTTCAGTAGTGCTAGGATTTTGTGTACCCATAGAAATTAATACAAACATGAACTGGAGTTTTTTTCAACTCATCCGAATCGAATGACCCAATATTCGACCTGCATGAAGTTTGTTTACAACAGGTTGAACAGCCGTCGATAGCTCAGTTGGCAGAGCGGTGGACTGTAGGTGGTTTCAAAACTGATATCCATAGGTCGCTGGTTCGACTCCGGCTCGACGGAAGTTGCTTTTTTTAATGAAAATAAATTCAGAATTAGAGTCTACTTTTTTTCCCCTTTTATCAAGTGAGTGAGTGAATATTAACGTTGCACTGAGGGCTACACGACGGCTTTTGGCGACGGATCTTGTAATTTTGAGCCATGTTCAAGTGACGAGGACGACCCTGAGCTGGCACCCCTCTTTTAACTACCACACTACACCAACGGGAGGACTCCTTTTGTCAAAGGCAGTGAGTAAGAGTGATATTAACAATGCTCTATAAAGCAACACGAGGGCTATTGGCGACAGACCTCGCAAGTTTGAACCTCGGTCAAGAGACGAGGACGACACCTGAGCTGGTACTTGTCTCTCCTAGCTATCACACCATACAAACGGGAAAACGTTGAACCTCGACAAATTTAACGTTCATTGTTCCCCTCTACGAAGGGGTCTTCAGTGGCTCCAGAGGACTCGAACGCGGACACTCCGGTCACGGGTTTGTGTCTCCGTAACCACTTGGTTACCAAAGACACTTGCATTAAGGGAAGAATGGTATTTTTTTTATTAAAAATCGTTTTGGGGCCCCAAGCCCAAATACGTACTTGGCGTCAGTCAAGGTTTGGGCCTTGTAGAATCTCTGAGATCCTCCCCCCGCAATACGGGGGTTGCAGGGTGTACGTTACGCCACTGAGTTTAGGTACGATATAAGAACTTTCACTCTGGTGCTGTATATATAATTTGTATAAACATTCACAGAAATTAGTATGAACACACATCAAATAAATTTTTTTCTACTCATTTGAATCGAATGACACCAATAAACAATTGGCTTCAGCTTTACTTATAGCATACTGAACAGCCGTCGATAGCTCAGTTGGCAGAGCGGTGGACTGTAGGTGGTTTCAGAGCTGATATCCATAGGTCGCTGGTTCGACTCCGGCTCGGCGGAAGTTGCTTTTTCTAAATGGATTAGTGAAATGGAAATAACATTCAGAAGTAGTTCTTAGAAAAAAACTATTATTATAAAGTAAAACATTTAATTAGTTTATAATTTATAATTACTTTACATTTTTTAAAGCTTAAAATAAAAAATTATTTCAATTATCTTAACTGTGTAATCAAATATTTTTTTCCCTCTATGTGCGAAGCATTGTCAAAAAATGTAAATATGCCCCGTCCTTACCCTATAACCTATGCATTTTATAATCATCCACCTTTTAGAGCAATGATCCCCAACTCCCTGGCTACGGAATGGTACCGATCAGTGGATCAAATAGTACCGGGCTTCACAAGGAACATTAAATTATTTTTATTTTACTTACTGTGGTGTATTTTTCTCTCGTGTTCATGCGACTTTCCGTGGAAATCCTTTTGTATTAATTTTTCGGTGTATAACTGTATTTTATTCAAAGGGCATGTTAAAATACAATTAAATTTATTAAATCAAAATCTTTAATATACACAATCAATTCGAGACACAGTCATCAAAAATTCAAAAAAGAACTATCCTTTGAAAATGGAGGTGACGTGGTGACTACTTTTAAAGAACATATTTCTATTTAATGATGTTAAAGCCTTCTAATGTAGAGTCTAAACTATCCTCTCTCTTTTCTTGGGCAGGGCAATTTGTAACAAAAATAAGAAGCCGTTTAAGGCTGTTTTCGGTTAATGTTAAAGAATATTACTCGAATTTGGAACATTTTTTCAAATATAAAAGAAATGAAAAATTAATATTATATTCTAGCTTCACTATCCTTTAAAGAGCAGTATTTTTTTTATCATACTTCCCATTTTTAACCAAGTTGATTCATTTTTTCTGGTAAAAAATGTGTTTTGTGTTTTTTTTCTCCTATATCGTAAAGTTAAATGGGCTACGCCTTCAGGTATTAAAACGAAAATAAAATATTCATGGAATATTTTGAAATTTTTAAAAACACTATATTGTTAACAGAGGTACGAGTTATAACATTGCAAATTTCCATGGAAATTGAGGTATTTTTATTATCTGAAAATGTGCTTCGCGTTTAGTTCAAGCTCTCGTACTTTGACCGAAGACAGCGTTAAACGATGAAACGCTGAACGAGCTGTGTTTTTTAAAAGCCTGTTTACAGAAACACAAGAAACGAAGGAACGTTTGTTTTTTTTTTATT